AGAGACTCAGCGTGGCTGCAGCTTGTTGCCATGTCAGCTTACACCAGTCATGTGATTTGGAGGTGCAGCGTGTCTGTGGACCACAGAGGGTTAATAACACTCACCTTCCTTCCATTTCCACAGTGTAACATCCAACCACCTGTGTAAAAAGCGAAATTCCCATGGTGTTGTTCAGAATGTGCTCTGGCACAATGATAAGCATGCTTGCTACTGAAAACAAGAAAAAAGCCGGTCCTGCTATGGGCTGAACCATTTGCTAATGGTGGAGGGGGGGAACACTATGCAATATATTCAGTTTTAGCATTTATATTAACTGTTGACTGTAACTATGTATACGCTCAAAATGTTAATGCTATCTTATTTTAATAAACAACACTGTCATGTGCAAAACTGGGATGGCACTTGGGGTTGCAAGGGATCATTTTAGGGTGGCACTTGCCACCCCATGCCACCCTTCTAGATCCGCCCCTGCCTTCATGGGCCTCTGTCCCGCTGTACATCTCCTCTGTCTATCTTGTGTGTGTGTGTGTGTGTGGGTGTGTGTGTGATTTGGTTTTTGGTCAGAAGCGGGATTCGGCCTGAGTTTCTTCTTAGATTGTTCAAAGAGCGCTGTCATGACAGAGCTGCCGAGGACCTGGTTGAAGTCACACCCAGATCTGTTTTGAGTTTTAAACAAAATTTGGAAGTGACAGCAGCTCTAAACCTGACTATTTATTCTCAGGTACGGGAAGCAAAACGTGGCAGATTTTTCTATTAATTTTTTGATTCTGGGGGGTTAGGGTGGTGGTGGTGGTGGTGGTGGGGGTAGGAATACATATACATACACATATACAAAAAACTGATACAAACACCTGAGGACCCAGCCTTCGTGGTCTAAGTGGGCCTCCAAAAGCCAGGTAGGCCGGAAGTGAGCGACTGTGACGGTCTAGCCTTTAGAATTGCGTCACGAGCTCTCTCGGTGGAGTGAAACTCTCCCGTCTGCTCCTTGCTATCTAAATATAACAGGACACTGGCGTAAATTCTCGACCATCTCACTCTTCTGTTTAATCAGTTTTCTGTTTGATGTTTATTCAGCTGTGTGAAAACCCAGGAGGAACCCACCTGGAGGATTAATAAAGTTTTATTTAATCTAATCTAATCTAATAACTTTAATCTCAGCCAAACCAATTTACTCAGGAACAAATAAAACGCTGATTTAAAGTATGATTAAAGTTCAGCCTGATTAATATAAATGTCACTGACAGTTGCTAATATATTGGAAAACCAAAATCCTTACCACTCACTTGATGTCTTTCTGTCCAACAACTCCTTTTCTAGACTTGTAAGAGTTTGATGGTGGAGTGCTGGTCCCGAGCCTCAAAAACAGTAAGAAGCAAGAAGAGGGAGAAAAACCATAAAAGTATTCAGAAGCTGTATTGGCTGTGCAACCATTATAACCTACAACACAAAAGCTCAATGTACACTTCATACAACCAAATTAGAATAGCACATATAGTATTAAAAACACCATCTACTGCTGTGTCTGAATGTGTGGTACACTGAAAAAAAGGCCATGTTGGATTTACTTAATTCAATAGTGGACATTGGTTGCACACAACTGTTTTGCTTTGGCAGAAACTTAAACAACTGAGTTAAATCAACACAACTTATTCATATTCAATAAACCTGTGCATTTTGTGTTGATA